GCTCGCGCCAAAACCCAGCCCGGCTTCCGATTGGTCGCTGCGCCCGAGCCGAGGGTCCCAGGCCCCTCCCCTTCTTCGGCGACCAATCCTGCTGGAAGACCTACAGCCAATAAGAAGGTCACGAATCTCAGAGCCGCCGTGAGGCCACGCCTACCCGGCCCGCGGGAACAGGCATCTACATCCGGGGCTTCCGCGGAAGGCGCGCGGAGACAGCTGGCGCGCGGAGATGCGCCCCGCCCCACTGCAAAGCCGGACGGGAGGTGTAGTCAGTGCTCCCTGCGACTCTCCTGCGTTCCTGCTCCTGAGTGTCACGACGCCCTTGTCCCTTCTCTGCCACACGTGCCCAGGTTCATTTTCCTGATGGGCTGCATTTCCATGAGCTAGTACGTAATACCAACCACACCGGACGCCCTACGTGGGCCAGGCGCAATGCTGTGCGTCTTTGCTCGCTTCTATTGCTCAACTCTGGAAATGCAAGGCTTTGAGGGAGAGTGCACGGGGTTAGAAGTCAGGGCACCTTGGCTGGTGGAGGCGGCAGCGGCACTAGGAACCTATGCTCCTGACACCGCGATGAAGTTCTGCAACTATACGATCAAGCCAAGCACGGTGGTACACACCAGTAATCTTAGGTATTTTGGGAGGCTGAGGCAGGAGGATCCCAAGTTCCAGGCCAGCTTGGCAATTTTTGTTTTGGTACCAGGGATCGAACTCAGGGCCTTGCGCTTTGTGAGGCAGGCAGCGGCACGACAGAGCTAAATCCCCGGCCTAGCTTGGCAATTTAGTGAAACCCCCTCTCAAACAAAAAGGGCTCAGGATGTAACTTAGTGCTAACTTTCTAGGTTCAACCTTAGATGATAGAAAAAGCTACACTTCATCGCAGTATCTCTTGTGCTCCAGAAGTGATAAGAACCAACTCTATTTTTTTCAGTATGAAAATATTATTTTCCATGCACCTTTTCACTTCACATTAATCTAGGCTTTGTGGAGACTGGAAATAATTATGGTTCTTTAACTTTAAGGTCTTTTATGGCCAAACACCAGGGTTTTAGGGCAGGGAAGATCGTTCTAGAAGAGACAAGCTGAGCTTTTAATGAGAAGTATAAATTAGAGCAGTAGTTTTCAGACCAGTTTCCAAAGCTCATGACCCGTCAGTTCCCTTTAAACGCCAGGAGCCCAATCCTAGGTGGTGGCAAATACTTTATCTTTTATTCTCCAATAGCAAATAAAATAGAACCATAAAGCTGAGAAACGGGAAAGCAACGACATTACACTCATGGGTTAGCAGCACTTAGTCACGCAGGAGATTAGAGTGCACACAGCACGCAGTGCAGCTGGGTGAGCCAGTGTCTTACCTGTCTCCCTGCATTACTCCTCCCCGCCCCCCACAAAGGCGGTATTTACTTCCGTTTTACAGATGGGGAAACGAGAGTACGGGGGTGAGTGATCTTTTCAAGGTGACACAGCTAGTAACTGGAAGAGCTAGAGGTGGATGTGAAATCAAACGCTTACCCTTTAATCACAGGAGGATTCCGTGGATGCTCAAGGCACGATCAGGATGAATGTTTAAATTTAAAAATTTATCCTAGTAGGACACACTGCCATCAATCCCTCTTGTGTGTTTGAAGCAAGGGGACCTTGTGAGCAGGGTTATGTCGGGACACCCGACCACTCCAGACCCTGTGTAAACCCTGCAGTTTGCCCTGGAGGCTGCTGGCCACGGACTCTCTGAGGCCCAGGGCCCAGGTCCTGAGTGCAGGCGTCTGAGGCCCCGTGTGCACCCAGCTGCTCAAGAGCTGCGTGGAGGTGAACTTGACTGTGGGTTCCAGTGATCTCAGAGGTGGCCCTTCCCCAGTCATCCTCGGGGTGGCAATTTTGTCCTCTTACTCTGCCACAGAGGACTCGGATGCCAGGTGGGCAGCGCCCTGCTAGCCACCCTGGATCGGGAAAACACCTCAGAGGCCCATTCCCAGGAGCAGCTGCGCCTCAGTGGTAATTAGAGTGAGCAATGAGAGTCCTTATCATGCAGTGTCACGGAGCAGGAATGAGGCCACACCGGAACGACCGGCCTGGCACCCTCTGAGTGCACATGCGCAGGAGCTCAGCCCGGAAGCTGAGGGTGGTACCGGCCAGTTCCATTCGCTGGCTAATTAAAATCAGAGCAATTAAATCAATAAACAGGCAGTTTATTAATCAAATTAATGATGATGGGTCAAATAACCTGTAAGTCCTCCTTCATAGTTTTGAATCTAAAGCATGTAATTCAAATGCACACCCATGATGAATCAGCGTAGGACAGATTTCAAGACCTTTGCTAGCAACGAAAGTGCAAGTTAAGCTCATTGCACCTGCGCGGTAGCTCTGCCAGCTGACCACAGGAAGCAAAGAATGCCTCCTTGAAATATCTACCCCTGAAGTCAAAGTTCAAGAAAACCAGATATGATCACCGCTTAAAAGACAGCGACCCCATGGAGACACGCAGGCCCAGATGCTCCGCGCCCCTTCCTCCACTCGTTGAGAATCAGCTGTGCGTCGCAGGTAGAAAGAACCCTAAGGAACGTGGGGAAAGGGCACAGGGCCACGGCGGTCAGAACCCTGGGCTGTTCAGAACTGGCACAGTGGCCTACTGCTGGGGCGGAGAATGAAACCACCAGATGCCCGGAACAGGACGCCACAGGTTTTGTCCCCTCCCTACGCCACCATCGGGGTGACTTTCCAAAGAGCACACAGTTTGCAGCTTTGTGTGTGTGGTTTTTAAAGCAAGGTTTAATTAAACTGCACGGCTTCCAGAAGGAGGAAATGTACCAAAGAATCCAACCTGAGACCAGATTACACATTTTAGGGGTAGAAAAAAAAATCAGTGCTATTTGGGAGAGGGAGCACTGTAGTCAGAATATAAATCCAAGATAAATCATACAATAAATTATTTTTTTAAAAAAGAAACTGATCCACATGCAGACGGATGGCTGGACACACACACACACACACACACACACACACACACACACCTGCTCTCATCTTTTATTCAGTGTTGACTAGGAAAGGGCAGATTAGACTTGAGAAGGCCAGAACCCCCTGCCACCAGCATAACGAGGTGCAAGACAGAGAGCAGCAGCCGGCCAGTGTCAGAAACAAGACTGGAAAGGAGGAAACTGCACTTATCAAGGAGGATTTTAATTGCTCCAAAGACGCAGAGGAGGAAAGCACAGAAATCTATCACAAATAAAGGCACAATGAACGTGGAGTTGAATGGAACCAAACCCTCCCTTCGGTTACACAGTTCTCATTTTTTCTTTTTTGCATGTGGCTTTGAAGGTGATTATAAGTTTGTTTCATTTTAAGAGAGGAACCTTGAGGGCAGAGTCATGGGGTCCTCTCGTCTCCCAGTCTCCCATTCCCTAACTCTGGGTGGCTCGACAGGAAGCCTGTGGCTCTAGGGCAGAGGCAGGCGACAGGGACAGACAGAGGACAGCGGAATGTGTGGAAATGAGCTGCAGTGGGTGCCGTCCAGGGATGCCCAGGCCCACTCACCCCAGCGCTACAGGCGGGAAGGGCCGGATGGGCTTCTCCCCCACCCCCAGGAGCACGTGGCCTACAGATTATTTCAAGTCATCAGGAGAATGAACACACACCCCAACCCTGAGTTGCTCTGTAGCAAGTCTATTTACAACTTTTTCCTCACCTCTCTCAGGAGGTGAACGTGGGCTCCAAGCTGGGAACCTGGGAGAAGGAGCAGCTCGACTCTGCTGCCCCAGCTGTGGAAGCGTGGGGCTTGTAGCTGGAGCAGATCCCGGGACAGAAAGCCACGCCTGGAGTATGAGTGCTTTGGTCCAGGTGCACTGACCGCAGCGGGGAGAGGGCACCGAGCACGTTTAAAGGAAAGCGACAAGCATGTTTTCCCTGCTGGGGAAAAACATCATAAGCCAAGCCGACATCAGGGCCGCGCACACAGCTTCTCCACGCTAAGCTGAGCGATGTCACTTCCCCCAGGAGGGCACGAGGGAGGTAAGGGGACCGGTGTAGCCTCAACATGAGACCAGCCAGCTTCCCCAGAGAGGACCTCCCACCAACAGATCCCAGGAGCGGTTCAGAGGTGAGTAGTTTAGTCCCCACCTTGAACCTGTAGTATGAGCTCTGTACAACACACAAAATCGACTGGTAACTACGCAGGTTGCATTCCCATCTCAATAGCAAATATACATACATAATAAACCTGTTATTCACAGCGGGACCATACAGTGTGTAAGGCAAAGCTGATTCAACAGCACTGCGTCACCAGTGTCCTGAAGGAAATCCACTCCATCAGGCCAGGGCCAGGCCACTGTCTGAAGGCCAGCAGTGGAAACACAGGGTACCTACGTGACACAGTCTGAATGCTGGGGACACAAGGGCCAGCAGGTCATGAGGAGGAAGGTAGCAGCCCCAATGAAAAGCTGGGGTTTGGCTTTATTTGAGATACTTTGTTGCTCTATGTTTGAGTAAAGGGAAAAAGACACACTTTGAGAACATTGTACAAAGGCATCGACTCCCATTTCAAAAATAAATGGGAAGACTTCACAGTCAAAGTTCAGTCACTCGCCAGCGTCTACCCTGGGACTCGCTGCAGTGGCAGCTCCTGCGCCCTCCCTGCCTCAAGATGCTGGGGACACTTCTGGGAATGGCTGCTAACAGATGAGAAAACAACAGTGGTAAACAAAGAATGGTCAACAAGTCCAGTGACAGAGCTAATCGTGGTGTGCCGAGTCAGCGTGGTCTGGGGGATGGCACGGACGGCGGCCTCCCAACATGCAACCCAGAGCCCTCCCTTGCCTGGCACTGCGCGGAGCTGGCCCAGACCCTTGGCCTATGGCGGAACCGAAAGGTCCCCGCGGCAGTGTAAGCCTGCACGGTGTCTGGCGACAGAGGAAGGGTCAGGACAGCTTGGCCTCCCTGCTCCCACGGCAGACTGCAAGCTGACCCATCAGCCTGTGGAGCCCAGAGCCCATGCTGCCTGCCCTGGAGGAGGGAAAGCCGCTGCCCCACCCTCCAGCCTCAGCTGGAGCCCCCACTCTCTGTGCCCTGACTACCCATATTACCGGCTGCCAGGTGGACCCCTGGGCTGGGGACACCTCTCGAAGTCTGTGGACCCTACACAGAGAACCCTGAAGCCTCCAAGGGTCCACTCCCCACTTCACCCGCTCCTACACTGCTGTGCTGCCCTGCAGGCCTGGAAGGTGAGGTGGGTGCAGCAGGGAGCTGGAAGATCCTGCCGGGCAGACAGCAGAGTTCCAGAAGAGGGAGGCCCCAAGGTCCTGCAGCCCTCGGTGTTTCACCCTTGCGTCCTTGGTCTCCGGGGGCCGAAGAGCATGCAAAGGGCCCTCGCCGCAGCAGGGCCAGGCAGAAAAAAGCAGGGCAGAGGCGGAGGCCCAGGCCCCACCTTCCTATCTCCCACCAGAGGTTTTGGGGGCTTGTGACAGGAATGACTCATGTGCCCTAAAAGAAGGGCTTGGGGTCGGGGAGAACACCCTTCAGCACCTCAAGGAAAGGAGGCAGGGAGTCCCAGGGGCTCAGATGGCACTGGTCCCTTAGCTGCAGAACTGACTGGCTCTAAGTGGTCCTCAGTTTACTTCACCCTCTCCGAGGATTAAATGTTTAGTCAGCTGATTAGTACTTAGTGATGGTGACTACCTTAGCCCTGGGTCAGAGGGGGGGTGAGAACAGAACAAAATACCCCTGGAAATAAAGCAGAGCCACTTCCTCACCTTCTCCAAACCTGACCTTTAAAACAGATCACTACTCTTGGAACTCCTCCCTTGCTTTACTGTAAATGCTTCCTCACCACAGAAGTCCTGGCTGTGGAGCCTCCCGGGGCAGACAATGCACCTGCCGCGCCTCCCTGCCCTGGGTGACAGCAGACCGTATGGCGCCCGCTCCACCCTGCTGCTCTGTCCACAGCAAGGCACCCTCCCCAGGAAGGCAGAGGCGGGGCTCTCTCCTCTTCTCAGCAGGGCTGGCGGAGGCAGAGGGAGTCAGCTGTGAGCCCTCTGCTGACCAGAGCCGTCACAAGTGTGGGACAGACGCAGAGATGGAGGCGAGCCAGAGGACGCTGGAGTCGGGCGGGAGTGCTCATGCAGGTTTCGGGGTGGGGCCATCTGAGAAGAGCAGGTCTGTCCTTTCCTGAGGGACGGGACCGGCCAGGCTTCACCTGAGAACGGGCGGCAGGGGAGGGGCTCCGCGGGCAGCTGGAAAACACACATGCATGTCAGCAACCCCAAGGAACCACACACGTGTGTGTCACAGCAACTCAGAAAAAAATGAACATCCCTGAGAGAGGAGACAGGATCTTCACCTTTATGAAACCTTGGGACTAGCGTCTGTAGTGTCTGTGCTTTTTTTTTTAATTCTTTTTTTGTACCAGGGATCAAACTCGGGTCCTGCAAGCACTGAACCACCGAGCTAAACCCCCAGCCCCGTCTGTGCTTTTTTTAAATGAAAATGAAAACGAGTAAAATTTGAACTAGGAAAACATAAAATCTGTTATGTGCAGTTATGAGAACTGCTTCTTTACTCCTGCCTCACCTCGGTGTGTTTTGCTGGGATATATTCTCTGAAAATGTTTATATTCTTCTGGAGCTGGAAAATCTTCTACAGGATGGAAGGAATACTTAGACTCAAAGTCATCTGTGAAGAGAGCAGAGTGTTAAATTCTGTCACCCTGTCGTGTCTCCTGTGCCACCCCGGCTCCCAGCTCAGCTGTGGCACATGTGGATGTACCACGTTCCCCCAACTGCGGAGCCAAGGTCCCTGCACAACAGCAGCGCCTCAGAGGCCGCCCTGCACAGGGGACCTGCTCGAAGACTGCTGATCTCAGGGAGTCTGAGCTGCGGCTTTCCCATTTTCCGCCAGAAATCAGGTGTGTGACCAGGAAGAGGCCATCTGTTTGCAGGCAAGCAGAAAGCACAGAGAAGTACAGTCTGTCTCAAGCACTCAGCCATCTCAGAGACCACTGGAGTGCTACCAGAACGGTGCCTACAAACTGGTGGAAATCCATCTTGAATGGGAAGACTGACTCTGGCTGAGACAGATATGCATGGACGGTAGCTCTAACCCTTCGGTCTGGGCTGCTCCCATGCAGTCCGTACCACACTGGGTCTCTTCCAGCCCCGCTCCCTCCCCATGGCTCCCGCCCAAGCAGGCCTGAGTTCCTAGAGGTGTGGCTGGGTCACCTCACAAAGGTTCCTACACAGGATGGATGCTCAGGGCAGAACCTGGTGCCTCCCACATCTTGCGGTGCTAGGGACCCTCTCAGGGCACTCAGCAGAGGTCTGACATCCTCCGGACAACCTCCACTCTGGGCGCATTCAGACCTCACACTTTGGAGCACCAACATTTATGACCTGGGAAGATCCTGTGACAGGTTCCCGATCTGTTCAACTTCCTTGTTTTAAAAATAACGAAAGAGAAATGAAGTGACTTCTTCCACATAACACCGCCAGGGAGCAGCTACAAAATGGTTTTAGTTTATGATGACGATTAATTTTCGTGGGGCCGGAGGACCTAACCCAGGTCCTCCACATCCTAAGCTTATTTAGCTTGTAAGGAGCCAGAAAGCCGCTCTACTTCCCAGGAAACGGGATTCCCACCTGACAGATCTGGAGGAGGATGCGGTCTGGGAGTTGTTGCAAAGCATTACCTAGCACAAACACCTGCGGGCTTCCTCTGCCCGCGCCCTATCAGGTCAGAGACGTCAGCGGACCGGCACAGCAGTCCGGGCGACAGCCCCGGGAGGAGCTAACGGTCGGGCACAGCGATGCTCACCCAAGAAGGAGCGGACCACCGTGGCGATGGAGTCCCGGTGGCCATTCCTCAGGGGCTGCGGCGGCGGGGG